TTGAGAATGTACACAGCAGAACAATACAACCAATTAAGCAATTTCTACATGTACAATTCAGTGACGTTGATGACATTCTTCAAGTTGTGCACCCATTCTCACCCTCCTTTTCTGAATTGTTCCTCCTCTATTACCATAAACTCGCTGGCCCCTAAGCTTCCTATCTAACCTTTCGAGTTGCTCCTTCTGCCCTCTTTTTAGCATATCTCTGACTCTTCTGCCTTCCTTTTCTGCTTTTAAGATCTCAGGTGATTACGTTGAGCCTACCTAGATAAGCCAGGTACCCTATTTTAAAGTCAGCTGGTTAGTAACGTTAATTCCATCTGCCACTGGGTCGATGCCAACTCATAGCGACCATATAGGACAGAGTTGAACTGCCCCCATAGGGTTTCCAAGGTTGTAAATCTTTATGAAAGCAGACTGTGACATCTTTCTCCCATGGAGCTGCTGGTGGGTTTGAACTACTGACCTTTTGGTTAGCAGCAGAGCACTTAACCGCTGCACCACCAGGGCTCCTAAAGTCCCTTACACCAAAAAAAAAAAAAACTATTGCTGTCGAGTCGATTCCAACTCACAGCAACCCTATAGGACAGAGTAGAACTGCCCCATAGGGTTTCCAAGGAGCGACTGGTGGAATCGAACTGCCAACCTTTTGGTTAGCAGCCATAGCTCTTAACCACTATGCCACCAGGGCTCTGCTCAGATTAGTTTTGATAGAATAACCAGGGACATATTTAAAATATAAAATTGGTTTATCAAGCACAGCTGACCAGCAAATGGGAGGGAGGGAGCTAGTCAGTGTCAATGCCCTCTAGTCAAAGACCACCAGGAATACACCTGAAATTAAACAGGTTTCTTGCTTATTGCAACAAGGGAGAATGCACACCAGGAAGAATTGTGGTGCAGATGTTTCAGTAGAAGGAATTAGAAAGGATCTATTATAGAATTGGACTTGTGTTAGCTGGTTTTGTGAAGGGTGTAAGGAAGCAGGATTTACTCCGAATTGGATACAGGAGTAATTCTGTAACTAGTTATCTTAGTGAATATTATCGAGAAGAAGGGAAGAATACACCACGTTAGCCAAACTGAAAGTAACAAGCCTTTACTCACTGCTATAGAATAAACAATAGGCCCAAAAGGAAAGGGTGCCAGCTCCCCCAATGTTTTTCCTGCGCGGAATGGCACCTGGTGGGCAAAGGTCAGGTGGATCAGCTCGATCAGCACAGATTGAGGTGGAAGTAGGCTGAGTCCTTGAATGCAATTCTTCCTCCAGAGACTGCAGTGCACTGACTGTGCCCTGAGTCTGGGGTGGGAGAGGCAACTTTCCCCCATGAGGCCTGCCAGGTTCAGCCTTTCTAATTGCACACGGTCAGGCCTGGAAGAGCACACACAGGATTTTGTCTTGGAACCGGCCTCCTCAAGTTACAGTTGTAACTGGTAGAGAAGCAGCAGTCACTCACATTAACCAGGAGAGGGGAATGGTTGCTATTTTTGTAGCGTTCCTAGTGCCTTGTTTTTTCTGCGTAGACAAGAATATGAAGTGGTCTTCCTGCCTTTTTTTTTTTTTTTTTTTTTGGGTCTCACTTCATTGCAGTGACAGAGTGAATTTGTTGTTTTTTATGTTCAACAGGAGAAAACAAAGTCCTAAGTCTGAGTGCCAGGCCAGTGTCTGGATGTCAGGAGGTGCTTTGCTCTGTCTCAGCCGCTTGCTGAAACTGAGACAATCCAGAGTCTAACAGCCAACCGAGAAAAGCAATCCAAATATTCTGGGAACTTGTAACTTCAGAGCCAACTGCATTATATGTGATTATGTGCTGCGACTAAAGAAATGATTGTATTCATGGAGATCAGTTGAATAAGATAAAGTAGTTTTAGGCTTGTTTTGTTTTAAATGAGTTTTACTGCTGAAAAAGTACATTTTGGTTACTTAAAAAGTCAGCAAAATAGAAAAATATTTCCTCATGATGCTGAATGAATAAGTACGTTTATATTTTATATGATGTGAGTTATAGGGAGAGGTGGCTAGTGGCTGCATAAGGAGAGGTCAGAGTTTTCAGGCATGTTTTGTCAAGACCATGGGTATAAGAGAATAAAAATCTTTTGGGAAGGACTGACATGGTTTACGGAAACCCTGGTGGCGTAGTGGTTAAGCGCTATGGCTGCTAACCAAAAGATCAGCAGTTTGAATCCACCAGGCACTCCTTGGAAACTCTATGGGGCAGTTCTACTCAGTCCTGTCGGGTCGCTGTGAGTCGGGTCGCTGTGAGTCGGGTCACTGTGAGTCGGAATCGACTCGACGGCAGTGGGTTTATGGGTTAACATGGTTTACAAGACTCATGGTCTGAAAGGTAGAAAGAGACCTGAACTTGGAATCAAAAGGGTTGGGTGGTTAATTTAATCACTCTGGGTGTCAGTTTCTCATCTATAAAATGGGAATATTATTAATACCTATCTCATAGAGTTATTGTAGCTAATGAAGTCAAACCCCTAGGCAAAGTATTATTATTAATGCTAATAATAATCTTAACTTTGTGAATTTATATACTTGCTATCCTTTTTTTTTCTTCCCGTCAGAATAAGCCTTCCATTACCTGATTTGTAAATTGGATGGTTTCACAAAGGTGTTGTGACAGTATCTTTTTACCCTTTCAGTTTTTTAGGAGTCTAAGTAATCTTGTAACTCCTTGCTGATTTACATGGTTACCAGTGAATGGTGCAGAATCAGCATTTATGCATTCATTCAACAAATATTATAGTCATTGAACTCTTTATTTGTAACATCAGGGTCTTAGTTTGGGTTGCCCAAAAGCAGACTCAAGATAAGGGTTTAGTTGTAGTTTATTTGGGAGATGATCACAGAAAGCTCTGTGCAGTGGGGGAATGGAGGCCAATAAAAGATGTATTAAGAGCGGATTGCCACTATGGCTAACTGGGGGACGGTCCTGCTGGGGAGCCTCTGAGAGACCGTGTGGAACATGCCTCAGAATTGTCCCACTAAGAGGCAAATAGGTCAGGGTTTTTTTTAATACATCATTGATTGAGGGTTATTCCTAGGTATAAACTCTCTGGCACTTTGGACCTGTCCCACATAGGGGCTTGTTCCTGTGGCCAGAAAACATCCTGGACAGAGAGCTGTAGTAGGAAGTGGTAGGTGGTAAGTATGGGAACTGTTTCCAAACAATTCCCATGACTGGCAAGGGGACAGAGTTGCCTTTCTTTTTTTAAAAAACATTTGTGGTAGAATGGTGGACTGTTTGTTTCTTGTACAGAAAGCACAATTAATATTTATAATAAGTGGTAAAAGTTAAAGGTGTTTAATACATACTGTTTCTCCTTAGGATTTTCTATTGCAGCAGACCATGCTACGAATTAAAGATCCTAAGAAGTCACTGGATTTTTATACTAGAATTCTTGGAATGACGTAAGTAAAATACTTATTAGTACCTGTAATGTTTAAGTAAATGTTCTGTCATAACTTTGCAAGTATAGGGAATGTTTTCAGACCCATTTAAAAAATGAATTAAAATTTGTTTTCGTAGTAACAAAGGTTCCTTTGGCCAGGAGCCTGGGTCTGTGCCTGACTGGCCAGGGCTTTTAAGTTCCTTTTTATCTATATCCCAGCCAGGCTCCTGGGCAACAAAGGACACAAATACTTGCATTTTCTTCAACATTCTTTTCTCCAAGTGCTGCCAGCCAAATCTGTAATGTCTTCAGACCCTTTTAGATATTCTGACACTTTTGGCCTCTTGTTTACTTCAGAAAAGATGTAGATATAAGAATGTATTCCTCAGAAAAGTGAATGGATTTACTTAAAACTGGCTGTCTGCTCCATTTTTATAGGGTATGTTCTCTTTTGCTCAACAGGTAAATCTTATAATCCTTAAGACATTTTTATTTGTTTTTTGTTTGTTTGTTTTTGGTAGCACAGATACATAAAGAATAAATTAAATGATTTTTAATTTACTCCCTAGATAACCCGCATTGACACTGGGAGAAAAATCAGGTAGTGCAGTATATGCCTATGTTTAGAAAATTTGACCAATTCAGAGAAATACAAAATGAAAAGTGTTAGTCTTCCTCCCCCAGTCCTTCTCCCCAAAGGTAACTCCTGTTAGCAGTTTCTTGTCGTTCTTTCCAGAAAAAGTACTTATGCATATACTTATGGCATATTTCAAGGACCGAATAAAATTTATTGAACACTTGTTATTATTTTCCAGGCACTTTATATGTTATTTCATTCAGTCTTCACAGTAGGCTTATGAGGTTAGTTTATATCTCCATTTTACAGACAAAGGAAGAAACTAAAGCTTAAAGAGATTAAGTTACTGGCATCACATCCCACAGTTAGCAGGTGGTAGAGCTGGAATTCAAATCCATGCCTGGTTGACTCCAGTGCTTACCCTGTTTTTAAAGAGATCCCAAAGAGGGTACAACTTGACATTATACTGGAAGCCACGCTCAGCTGAGAAAAGCAAGTTGCAACAGGTTCATTTACTCCAATTCCCATCTGAGTGGTCTGTAAGGCTTGTGTAATCTACTTTAGTAGGTGCAGAGATAGTTTTTCATGATTGGAGTATTTGAGGTATTTGATCCTTTAAGTTTATTATGTTAGAGTAAATCTTATTTGTGGTAACTTAATGCATGGGTCTCAGTGGGCTAAGGCATATTACATAGAAGTGATAATTAAATAAGACATTTGGAGCAGAACTCTAGAAACTTTCTATTAGCTATGCTTCAACCATTTCCTCTTGTTGATTATAAACAAAGTCATCTTAGAGCATTTAATCTTCAATAATCTAAAGAAAATTGTATTATATGCATCTTCCTTCTACCCTATTCCTTGCAAAATAATTCTACACTTCAAACTTAGTTTATAGGCCATAACTTCAATGATCTTTTTTAAAACTTCAAGATTAGTAATTCATTCACTCTTTCTCTCATATCATTCTTTCCTTTTCCAGTAGCTTTTTCCTCAACCTGCAAACAAACAGGTCTTCTCTATTCTAGAGTGATTCGCGCCCCTCTGCTCTCTGGCCCTTCTTTCTTTCCATTGTCATCAACCATTGACATAGGTTGACCACAGTTGCTGCTGTTCGACTTCCTCACCTCCAGTACAGTCCAGCTTCTGCCGCCCCATGCTGCTGAAACTGCTCTCTCAGGACCATTCCGTATCTAGTGACCTTTTCTCAGTCTTAATTTTGTTTGGCCTTTCTACAGCATTTGATACTCTTAACCACCTTATTGTTGACATTCACATGTGTTCTGTGATATTAATCTCTCCTTCTTCTTCCTTCTTACCACCTATCCTCAGTTTCCTTTCCCTAGAAGTTTTTTTTTTTTGCTCATTGTATCTTTTTAAAGGAGCCATGGTGGCACAGTGGTTAAGCGCTCGGCTGCTAACCCAGAGGTCAGTGGTTCGAACCCGCCAGCCACTCTGTGGGAGAAAGATGTGGCAGTCTGCTTCCATAAAGATTATAGCATTGAAAACCCTATGGGGCAGTTCTACTTTGTCCCATAGAGTTGCTATGAGTTGGAATCCACTCGAAGGCAACAGGTTTGGTTTTGGTTTTGATTTTTCCATTAAAATAGCCTTATCATGTATGTCTTATTCTTAGTAGAATTGAATATTAGTGTTTGTTAATTTTAGTATGAATCAGTCTTTCCTACTATTAGTGATTTGGGCTTGTTGTCTTTTAACTTCAGGCTGCTCCAAAAGTTAGATTTTCCCACCATGAAATTTTCACTCTATTTCTTGGCTTATGAAGATAAAAATGACATCCCCAAAGATGCAGATGAAAAAGTAGCATGGGTGTTCTCCAGAAAAGCTACACTTGAGCTGACACAGTGAGTATGAGTTTTTATATATTCTGCATTTTGTAAGCTGTTTTTTTGTTGTTGTTGTTGTTGTGTTGTTTGTTTTGTTTTACTTTTTTCCCCTTCCTTACCAATTTAATTCAAACCAGGGCTACCTAATAATCACATTTGTAAGAATATGGGTCAAGTGTTTTTACACACTATTGTCCTTGTAATGTCCCTATGGAGGAGTTCTACTCTATAACACATGGGGCCGCCATGAGTCAGAATGAACTTGATGGCAACGGGTTTGATTTAAGTTTATTGTCCTTGTAGTATAGATAGGGCAAGTGAGATCATCTGCCTTTTAGATAGAGCATGAAATGGTAAGATATCTGCCCAATTGTAGCTAAAGAGTGTTTAGATACTCCCAGCACTCAAATTTTTGTTGTTTCATGTTTTTGCTACCTTTTTGATGCAGAAATGTTATATTATGTGTTTCTTTTAAAAGCCTTCAAACCATTTTGTAATAATTAATATTCAAAATTTTAAGGTTTTCTTTTTAGGTAGATGATGTGCTTCTAGAAATTCATCCATTTCTTCTAGGTTTTCAAATTTGTTGGAGTACGGTTTTTCATAGTACTCTGTTATGATCTTTTTATCTCAGTTGGGTCTGTTGTTATGTCTCCCATTTCATGTCTTATTTGGCTTATTTAAAATTTCAAGGTATTTTTATATTTTCAACATTTAAGAATGTAGAAATAGCTTTTCCCTCTTCCCTGCCCCCCCTTATTTCTTTATGTTGTTTCTCTGCACTCTTTAATAGCTGCCAAAGAGCATTTATTTCAGGGTGTGTAACTTAGTGTGTCCCCTGATTCAAAAGGGAGCTTTGGAATCAGACAGACCTAAACATGAGTCTTTCTACAGCATTTGATACTCTTAACCACCTTATTGTTGACATTCGCATGTGTTCTGTGATATTAATCTCTCCTTCTTCTTCCATAGCTCTGTGACCCTGAACAAGTTATATCATCTCCCTAAGCAGCAATCTCATCTGTAAAATGGAGATGCTCAAATCTAGCCTATTCAGCTGTTTTGAGGTTTAATGAAATATAAAGCACTTAGCACAATAAATGATAGTTGCTGTTATTATGATTGTTCTTATCCAGATGCCCGGTTTTAATGCTGCTTCAGTCTACCTTGCCCATTTGCCCTTTCTGTAGTTGAGATCTTAATACTTGCAGTAGCAGGGATTAGGCCAATTACATAAAGCCGTATATACACATGGTAATATTTCAATGACAGAGTGTTGCAACTCTCTTCTCGGAATATCTTTTCTACTGGACACTTGTAGTTATATATTCACTCCTTTTGTAGCAATTGGGGCACTGAAGATGATGCGACCCAGAGTTACCACAGTGGCAATTCAGACCCTCGAGGATTTGGTATGTTTGCCTATTTGTATGTGATATCTGTGAATTTGTGTGATGTGCACGTGCACCTATCTATGATTATAAACTTAAAATATTCAGGGGCTAATTATTACGTATAATCAGTTTATTAAAGGTGTGGTTATTTTTATTTCCCACAAAAAAATACAATTTTCTAAAGGGTTTTTAACTAAAAAAAAACCTGGTCAATGGTAATCCTGATTTCTGTTACTATACACTTTTACGTTGATCTGAAATCCCTCAATAAATATTACAGGATTACAAGCTTCAGCTGGCTGCCATATAGTCAATGCCAATATCAAACCTGTTAATTATGTGTAAATGATTATTCTTTTTTAGTGTAAGTTATTATTAATAGGTTGAACTGTATATGAGCCACTATTGGTTTATTTGAAATAATTTATAATTCAGAGCAGCTAATTAATTCATTCTACCCAGCCAGTTAGATTCTTGTTCTTTAATATATCATAGGCTTTGAACCTTGTTTATGAGGTCTGTTTTCAGGA